GTTCTCATTTCCAGACCCACCTGCTGGCTGTATGGTCCTTCCCTCCCTCAGATTCCTGGAATTCCTGCAGCCCAGTCCCCTCTGTGTTAGTTGCTGCTCTCTGGGGGCCTGATCTGCACCCTGGTGTGTTTCCATTAGCCCCTGGGATGGAGGAGCCCTCTCGAGCAGCTCTTCAAGTAGTTTAGTGTAATTTTTGAAGTGATGCAGAGTAGGGTTGAACTTGCCAGGGCTATCCCTGCGTGGGGGAGCTGCTGTGACCCCCACCCCTGCCTGCTGACTGCTTAGGAGGATGAGCTGGAGCTAGAAGTGGGGTAATTCTATGCAAAACATGAATTACATAAGTGGCTGCCAAAGAGGTGTGGTGACCAAAGGAGAACAGGGCTCTGAGGACAAGTTTTGGGAGATGCTGATGTGCTTCCAGGCACCAATAACTGGCTGCACACTTAATTGCTCCTGGTGCTGAGGTTTTGTTGCAAGGCCTGTCATCTAATGCTCTCAGCACTGCAGAGCCCCTGAGCTGATGCTGAGGTCTCTGTAGGGGTCAGGGCTGTGTGTTTGTCAGCAGGGTGGGCTGGTGGTGGGGCACAGGAGGCTGTGGGGCTGCAGAGCTGGGCCCCTTGCTCTGGCTGATGAGAAGGTTTTGGGTTGTGACCTGTGTGGTGTTTCTGCCTTCAGACACTCCTGTGTTTAATGTACCTGACTTCCTCCACAGGCAGCATGGAAACACTGAGCAAGATGTGGGGAACAAGAACATGAGCAGCTTACAGAGAACAATGTCCTCAGACTCAACAGACTCAGGTATGGCCTTCTCAGTTACAGAATGGCAGAGTCATTAAGGGTGGCAAAGGCCTCTGAGATCAGTCCAACCACCAACCCCACACTCCCTTGGCCACTAAACCAGGGCCCCAAGGGCCACATCCACACGTTTTCGGACCCCCCCCAGGGCTGGGGACTCCAGTACCTCCCTGGGCAGCCTGGGCCAACGTCTCACCACTCTGCCAGGAGAGAAATTCTGCCTCATGTCCAATCAAACCTCCCCTGGGGCAGCTCCAGCCCATTGCCTCTCATCCTATCGCTGGTGTCTGTTAGTTCCACACGGGGGTGAGGCTGCAGATGGGACTTTCTGCCTTGGCTTCCTGGCTGAAGTCAGGGTCTCTGAGAAGCCTGCAGCAGTGCCCAGTCCCTCCCATCTCCTCAGGAAGCCCTGTCTCTCCTCTGCAGGTTGTGCTTTGGACTCGCCGGGCCCTGCAGCCTCGGGGGACCTCGTGGAGGAAGCGTACGTGGGGGCTGTGCCTGGGCTGGGGACAGCAAACTGTCACCAAGGGGCTTCTGCTCAGCATGAGCCCAGGAGTGAGACGTGGGGTTGTTGGTGGTGTCCTGTCCTGTGCTAACTGGGGCATCTCGCTTGCTCTTAGGTTTGAGAAGGCAATTCTTGAGTCTAGCAGGCTGAAGTAAGTGGGACTGTGTTTTACCTTCTGTGTCTGTTGTGGCTTGTGGAGTTTTATTGGGGGGTGGGAGTGATTTTTGTTGCTGTCTTTTAAAACAAAATGTTGAAATAAATCTTGTTCTGTTTCCTTGCAGCATGCGAATGCCCTTCAGAAGAATACACTCCCTGCCAGTAAGTGAGGGTGGCATTGGTACTGTATGGATCTTTAAGGATTTAGCCTGTGAAGCCTTTATAGTTGGCTGTGTTCCACAACTTGTCGATTTTCTGGCTACAAGAGCAGCTGCTGTGGTAGTTAATGGAAACTGTCAAAACTGCAGCTTGTAAGCTCCAAACCTCATTCAGCTCAGTGTGAAATTTCAGTCACGTGGCTCTCGTGTGGCTGAAGCACTTTGGTGCCATAGAATCACTATGTTGGAAAGGTTCTCTAGGACCATGGAGTCCAACATCTCCCTGACCACCAGACCAGGGCCCCAGGTGCTGCATCCACTTGTTTTCTGAACCCCTCCAGAGCTGGTGACTCCACCACCTCCCTGGCCAGTGTCCAGCCACTCTGGTGGCACCTTACTGAGATGTTGGCATAAGGCCTCCTGCATGTATTCACAGGCAGAGGCCTTACAGCCTGTGTTTGGACTTGGCAGTCTCTATTAACCCCTGGTTTGCTTAAAATGTGGCTGTGCCCAGTCCCAACCTGGCACTCTTGTGTGGCCCTTGCAGCAAAGCCTCCTGGGGGCCAGCCCTGCTCTGAGGAGGAACCAGCCCAGCTCCCTGGAGGGTGATGCTCTGCAACAGCTGGGACAGGAGGCAAACAAGGAGAACGTAAGTGCTGCTCTCTGCTGCTAAGAGGTGGGACCAAGCACAGGAGCTGGGGCCTCTCAGGTAGTGGGTGTGGTGGGAAAGGGGCTGCTCTGACTGTCTGTGTGGCTGCAGTTCAGACAGAACAAAGTTCTGCAGAGCTTCTCCTAGGGTCACTCAGGGTGAAGTGAGGCTGCTCTGATGACAGCCACTGCACACTGCTGGTGGGTTCATAAAGGATTTGGAAGGCTCTGGCTGTGCAGCTCAACCTGTGTGCTGCTGAA